TCAGTCTGAAGACAAAAAAGGATGTACCTTTGACCCTCGAATGACACACGTTAGAAATGGCATGGGTCCACTTATTTTTTGGTGAATGGTATAGTACTGTAAATATTTCTTCTTGATTTTCTTTAATAACATTTTCTTTTCTCTAGCTTACTTTATTGTAAGAATATAGTCTATAATACACACAACAAATGAAATATGTGTTGACTGTGTTATCAATAAGGGTTCCAGTCAATAGTAGGCTATTAGCAGTTAAGTTTTTAGAGTCAAAATTTATACAAAGATTTTTCCACCGCACAGGGGGTCGGTGCCCCTAATCTCCACCATGTTCAAGGGTTAACCGTATACCTACATTTTTCATAAGGCCCCATTTGGGCACACAAAGGTATTGTAATTTTTATGATTATTTGGTATTCCTATCAAAAAGTAAAAATTCAAATGATGTCTTAGTCTCAACAAGAATGCAATTTTCTGGTTAAATAGAGATGAAAAAGGAGTTTTGCTCTCAAAAGTATACTTCAACATACAGGGGGGATTGGGGGCCTGGGATCTGGTCCTGGTGCAGCCCCTCCCTATGTGTGAGCCCTCAGCTGGGGGGTGGGAAGGGGGTCTTAACCAGAGAATGAGATGGAATGATATAATCAAAAGTGCCTTGGGATGCCTGGGTGGCTCAGTGGTTGAACATCTGTCTTGGGCTCAGGTCACGATCCCAGGGTCCTGAGATTGAGTCCCATATCAGGCTCCCTGTAAGGAGCCTGCTTCTCCCTCTGCCTATGTCTCGGTGTCTCTCTCTCTCCATGTCTCTCATGAATAAATAAATTAAATCTTAAAAAAAAAAAAGTGCCTTAAGGGCACCATGCCCAGGGAGAAGTTGTCATGGAGAAGGTGAATTGAAGTGTTTACAACACACCAGGGGCACTTGACTGCATGTACCCCCGGTGACCTAGGAGAGGTTTTGTAGATGAGGGAGGCAAGTGACACTTGATAGGTTAAGTCAACCAAGCATCCAAGGTCCCACTGCTAGCACAGGACAGAGATAGTATCTAAACTTAGGACTCCGGTATCCATTTGGGTACTCTAGCTCTCCACAATGCTGTTCACAAACACAAGGTTTTGTGAGTCTTGATATTTCATGATGTGTTTCTTGTACAACTTTTATATAACTTTACAGGACATGTGACATTTTTCTTCCTACAAAAAGCATCTCTTAGGAAAGATGAAACATGTAATAACCAAACAAGGCATTTAAATTTACATAAAAATTTACATTTTTAAATTAAAACCCTATTTTCTCTTTCATATTAGAAGCAAACAAATCATAGTTTGGCCATGGGCTTCTATATTAAAGTCTCTTTAAAATACATCTCTGAAGTTTTTAAATAATTTCTTACGGTTTTAAAACATTCCCTAAGCCCCCCCTCCCATACTAATTAGTAATAATAATTTAAAGTAATCTGTCAAGAATTTTAGAAAGTGCTGCTCCAACTGAAAAAGACTGATCTTAATGACAATGTGTGTCTTCCATAAGCATGTCAGCAACATTATTTTTACAGCATAGAAAATGCTAAAGTAGCACACATAAAAATAACGGCAGCTGGTTAAGTGCAGTACATCTATATTTTTGGACTCAGTTGCTCAAAAATCCATGTGAACAATAAGGACATAACTTGGGTAGACTGCAAATGAAAGCTTAGTCAACTAGAACAAAATTTTGGCTACTCAGTAGCAATGCTCATGATCCATGATCCAAGCACTTGGAACACAGGCTTAGAATCTGTTATGTCTGTCTCAAGTCCTGTAACAACATCTGTGATTGCTTGCCACTCCCTCCTTCAGCTACTGTCATTGGTTAATTTGGTTCAAATCAAGACTGGAAAAAGTTAGCAGCATGCTTCTGGGAGCTCATACATATTTTAAATTATGTCCCCTCTGAAATCATTTCAGGGCTCTTGGATCCCCCAACACATGGAGGGGGAAAAAGAGCCTCAGCTGAGGACGTCCACAGAAGCTTAATGGACAATGAGGAAAACAATGGGAATGCCATAAAGGGAATGGGCAGGACTATGGGGCAGAAACAGAAAACAGAAGACAAAGCTCCTCTTCTGCATCATGCAGAGATCAGGACCAGTCAAAAGAGGATTGGTCTAAGGGTTGGCTCAAGGAAAGGAATTTAAGTCACATTGCCACAGATCTCCTCATACTATCCAAATGTTTTACTAGCATTAAGTGGCTAAGTGGCTTGTCGCCAGTAAGTTTCACCTATTGGTTGCTAAATGCTGGTATGATTTGCTGAGCCACATCACATATCAAAATCAGGAAAAGACCCCAACTATATATTATATTTTGCTTTTGACACACGGAAAAACAAAATGATAATATATGGGTTTGTTTTTTTTTTTCTAAGCAGTAGATAATAAATCTTACGGTCTTAAACATACTTCCTGTTTCTTCATCTAGAGCCCTTAGAAATGACACATTTCTCTCATGGAGAGATGCCATGCCAGTTCTAAGACGCTGGGTGTAGTCATGACACACGCAGGCATGCGGAGAGGTGGAAAGCTGGGAGCTAACTCTTGGAGATGCGCCTTATTAGCCTTCCCAGGGTGCTAATAAATCTCCACTCTGCGGGTGCTGCCTGGGGAAGCCTGCCTCCTTACCTTTGATATGGGGAATGAAGTGGTGTCGGAAGGGGGAGTTGGGGCGGGAGTCGCTGTGGGTGGAGCTGAGGCTGCTGGTGCGCAGGTGGGACAACCTTTGCACACCAGGAGACAGCAGCTCTGTGCGGCAAGGAGTCGGGGGTGGGGCCAGGTGGAAACAGAAAAGAAAAACAGAAATTAACACAGGAGCAGGGACAACATTATCATTCCAAGGGGGGGAATAAAATAAAGAACGTTAATCAGGAGTCTGAAAGAGGAAGAAGGCAAAAGGGTTAAGAACGCACCTGCTAAGGGCGAGGCAAAGTGGGGAGAATGTGCAAACAGGTTCAGGTTGGTACAGAGTCACTCTCTGAGAATAAATGGCTTTATGAGAGGGAATGGCCACCAGGACATTCTCTGTCAGGATGACACCAGCCACCCGGTACTGGCACATCATTTAGACTCAGAAATAGCTGTTTTTAAAAAGCACCTGACAAAACAGAACCCTTGAAACACATGTTAAAAAAAAATAAAAAAGATAATCATTTCAAGAACCTTAAAAAGAAGTACTTCTATGTAAGGGTCAGATTCTTTTTCTTTTTAAGCTGCAAACTTCTCCCACTAGTGGTTTGATTTTATTCTGCCTGTATAGAAAAAAAACAAAAAAAACAAAAAACAAAAAAACCCTGTTTGTGTTCTCTGGGTGGCAAAGAGCTACTTCTGATCCTGAGAACCGTGTGGTGGCAGCGCTGGGGGCCTGGAAGTTTCGTTATCTTGGAAGGAAAATGGACCGTTAAAACTAAACCCAGGCCCGGGTGCCGTGAATGCATCATCACCTGGCATCTAGAACCCTCGGAGTGGATAATCAGAGGTATTTTATACTGAGCACAGCCTTGCTGTCTGAACCCCACTGGCTTCCCTTGACAAGAGTAGATCTTGAAAAAAATAACTATAAACCCTAATAATTGGCATCATGCTTGCCCATAATATATTGCGAAGAGGCGGAGGAGCACTGAGAGTGAGGAATGTTCCAAAGGCTGCTGGCATCAGAATTTTGACTGAAACAGAAGAAAACTTCCAGTGCTCAACAATGATATGATCGTTTAGGGAAATAATGACCCTGGCTGGCCACCCCCTCACTATTCAGGGGCCCATGGAAAAACAATTTCCCTGTAGCCGCACATCATTCTGACAGGGTCATGGCTGTGGTCTCAATGACCTCAGCACATGCCTATATGGAGGGGTGGTGGCGTACAGAATTTCTTGTCCCCCCACGCAGACAAGGGCTTAAATCCAGACCCCGGTCCAGGGCATGAATTAAATGAATGTAGTTGTACATGAAAAAAAAAATTTTCTTGAAAAACTCTCACTTAACGTAAATCAACAAGTACTATTTATGAGCTAGAGAAAACTGCATGTTATTGAAAAATCATAGAGTAAAAATTCAATCACCTATAAGCATTATTAAATCTATGGCTTTAAGGGAAAGATTGCAGCCTTTTTTAACATTCCATTCATTTCCTCCGGTCCTATGTTATCAAATAAGTTAGCATATGAATGGGTCTGTTCTCATCAACCCATCCAGAAGGAAGAAGCTTAAAATGAAGTCTTCATAGATGTTCCCTGCCACCAACTTTGCTTAAAAGACCAGAGTCTCCCTCTGGGAATCTACTTCTCGGGGAACCTTGATCTATGCTGGGATTTCCACTCTTCCATTCCACACATGAGATGCCCACTAATAGTGACAGTGACTATACTGTGCACAGATGAAGGTCACCTGAAGTCCATTACTATTCCATATTGTCTCTCATAATACATCGCTAGTGTTTTTGTTTGCCAAGTCTGGTTCAAAATATAAGGGCCGGAATGGATCTGAGAAGTTATGAAACACAACCCTGAGGTTGCATGTGTTATTTCCTTCTGGAAGGTACTTAACAAAACATGCTTAATAACACCCTGTGCCTGGACTGGGGAAACACAACAAACCCACCAATTAATGACTAACGCTGGATTTAGATGAGGTTGAGTGTCTAAGAGGCACATTAAATATTCTCTTGGGAGATCTTCATTTTAAGTCTCAAAGTGATGAGGTTTTCTTCAAGTCTAAAAAAAGAAAAAAAAATCTCCCTTGCTTCCCGTTGTTCACTGTCAAAATATAATTATTTAATAAATCATGATACATATAGCCATAAAATAACACAAATTATAGTTGGATACGAGTCTTCTTGTTTTTTTTTTTTTTTTTCTGGGAAAAGGGGAGATCTATTTGGCAGCTAGATTTTTAATACACTATCAGTGGTAGGAAAAAAAAAATCACAAAGTAACATAGACTATTATATAGTGGATCTCGGGAACAGGTGCCCTTACCAGGTCTGTGAAAATGCTGGGGGGAGCGAGATGTGGTTGGAGTGTAGCTGTGGCGGCTGTAGACAGGGGAACTGATGGAGCCCTGGCTGGTGGACCGGTGGATCACCCGGTCCCGAGAGTCCTGATAGCCCTGGAAAGAAAGTGCAAGAACGCAGAAGCATAAGGCACACATTTAGGCTATTATCAGGTCCAGGCGAAATCAAGTTCTATAAAGGTTACCTGGGAACTATCATGTCTACCTGCATATACATTTTAGTGCCATATTCTTAAAAACATATGCAAAGGAGCATTCTGTGGTTAGTGCATTTTTTCGAAACCTGTAGTACTTGCATTTACCCAAATTTTAAGATGTAAGATGGTAAACTCCTGAATCAGAGCTCTGGGAAAAGAAAACAGCCTGATGGCCACATTTATATTGTGCTGTTATCAATTTTACAAAGTAGGTTCATCGTTTCATCTGATTTGCATTATAAGGAAGGTAGAACACAGGGTGTGACCTCCCTTCTCTACAAATGCAGAATGTTTCAGAGCAGGTAAGAGACCGGTGTGTAGGTCGTACAGCCAGAGCCTGCTTCAGAGCCAGCCTCCGAGCTCTAATCTTACCCTCTGTTCTGACCGCCAACCCACACTGTCTAGAACATTGATCTGGTGCCATTTTAAGTTGATTTTCCTGGAGAACAAGCTGGTGGTGGCCTCCACTCCAGGAAATTCTACTTACTACTTTGAGAAACATAGCCCAAGGGAAAAAATAAAAAGTGATCTTCGAATGGGAAAATTGGCTCAAAGATATTTATAACACCATCATTTATAAAGCTGAAACTTTCTCAACAAGTCAGGGAATAATTAAGTAAATTAGGCATATCAATTCAATGGAATGTAATACCACTACGAGTATGCCCACTATGTCCAAATCCAGAAAAGAGCAGATTAGGTATGAAGTACAAAAAAAAAAAAAATCATACACACGTAAACACAATATAAAACTGTTCAAAGAATTAAAAGAATAGAAAGGAATATTTTACATTTTAGGCATTGTTTGTCTTATGAAGCTTCTACAGCTACAACTGAAATACAAGTTTGAAACACCATATGGAAAATGCCTAAATTAAAACCTCAGTAACCATGGCTGTGTGAAATTTGAGAGCAAGTGGCATGGAAGTTTGGGTTTCACCCTAGTTGCCTATAGCCATAAAGTAAATAAAAACAATAAAACAAAAAGTCCCCAAATGATGTGCTTCAACTTTGCAACTGGTCAATACTAGAAGTTAATGTTTCATAACATCTGTAGTGATTGGGATACTAACAGAAATTAGTTATTCACAGCACTCAGTCATAAACCATCAAAACAATAGAGTTTTTACCATGTTAAATTATGATGGTTATCTAAGATCAATCCAGTTTTATTTAGAGCATCCAGAAAGTTGCTTTAAGTTGCTTAAAGTTGTTATTGTTTTGTTAAATATCTTCCTTAAGCAAGACTTGCCTTTCATAAGACTTATTGATTTTATTTTTTATTCATTTTAGTTTTTTTTTAAGATTTTTATTTACTACAGAGAGAGAGAGAGAGAGAGAGAGCGAACTCAGGAGGGGAGGAGAGAGAATCTGCACTGAATCTGCACCGAACACAGAGCCTGACGTGGGGCTCGATCTCACAACTGTGAGATCATGATTTGAGTCAAAACCTAGAGTCTGATGCTTCATGGACTGAGCCACCACCCAGGTGCCTCTTATTTTATATTATTATTATTTTTTAGATGGGGGTTATTATTTTTATGATCATTTATTATTTTTAGACCTAACATCTGAGCAGTTCACTCACTGAATACATAAGGAAATGCAAAAAAGTGAGAAGCATGCTAAACCTACAAACCCCTTGGTTATCGTTATCTGAAGTAGCAAAAATGAAAGGAAGTGCTAGGTCAGGCCTTGCTGCTGGCCCACACTCAGATTTGGGTCAGCCTGAGCTTAGGCCACTGGTCCCAAAGCTACCCACTCCCTCTCAGGGAAAAAGTAAGGAGGGGCAATGGAAAGTACTTCTTCTTTTTTTTTTTTAATTTTTTATTTATTTACGATAGTCACAGAGAGAGAGAGAGAGAGAGAGAGAGAGAGAGAGAGGCGCAGAGACATAGGCAGAGGGAGAAGCAGGCTCCATGCACCGGGAGCCCGATGTGGGATTCAATCCCGGGTCTCCAGGATCACGCCCGGGCCAAAGGCAGGCGCCAAACTGCTGGGCCACCCAGGGTTCCCCAACGGAAAGTACTTCTAAGGCCTCTGGTCACCATGCAGGCAGTCAGTGTGGGGGTAAAGCTAAAGCAAGAAACTAGTGACTCCAGGAGGAGATAGTGTGAAGGAGTTGTTGATTTTCTAGATCGGTATCAGCTTCCTGAAGAGCCTTTATTAAAATGGATTGTGAGAGTAACTAATCAGGGGGGGTGTGTCTTTGGTTTTGAGTCCTTCAGAGTGGAAGAGTGGGTATGGATTGACATGGGACCCATGGCTGACTATGGAACAATCACTGACGGCTCCGAGTGATCCGGACACATAGGAGTTATTCCCAAAGGAAGAGATGGCCTCATGGACTGGATAAAAGTCATTGTGAGATTTCTTTACCCTGAGAAGGAGGACAAGACTATTGGTTTTGGATTAAAAGAAGTGGCCTCCCCAGAAGATCGCTCTGCTTACAGAATACTCTCTGACCCCTGTAGGCCACTTCAGATAATCCACTATGTTAGGATTCAGATCAATTCAATATGAATGAGGGGAGAGAACCCCTTATCGGGACAGGTGGCCTCACTCCCTACAAACCCTTACCTGGCACTTGGAGGCAAAGGCTCAGGTATGGCTGTTTCTCCTCACCACCCCCCAATCTCATTTGAAAAAACATTGACTGCTGTGTCCGAGAGTCACATCTCACATGTAGGGAATCTAACATTCATTATAATTTTGCATAAAGTTTTTTGTTGTTGTTGTTGTTTTGTTAAATATCCTTCTTTAAAGATTCCAGTCTAGGAAAAGTCCAAGTAACTCTCAAATTCCACCCATTATAATGTTCAAGAATGGCACTTACCTCCGCTGATGGAGTAGGAGACAAAGTCCTTGGAGACTAGAAGAATAAAAGAGAATTGAAAGTCAGTGCTTCAGTGATTCATTATCAGTTTAATTATTTATCAGAATCACCTGGAAATAGTGTGCCACATACATATGCGTGCTGCCCTTGCCCATCCCTGTCTTCTGATTCAGTAAGCTGAGAGTGGGGCTCAGACAGGGACACAACTACGCTCCTGGGAGACCGGCGTATGTCCCTGCCTGAGAACCGTGAGTTTTGATAAATACGTTGTTATACTTTAGATGCTTAAGTTAGACAAATTGGAACTATTTTTCCATCTGTGCTCAAACTATGCTCGGTTTACTACTATGAGTCACAGTGTCTACCCAAACACAGAGTTTTGTAAACATGGTTGTTGACTAAATTATAATCACAGCAATCACATAAAATCGCCTGTTGACTGACATAGGCCGGTGATGACCAGGTCTGTGGCATCCCGCCCTGGTGGCTTGCCAACAACACCACCATTCACCTTCTGGCTCTCGTCCTTCCAGGCACAAAGGCTTCCTGGGGGGCAATGAACAGATCAAACCCTCTCTCACCCCAGGGCCTTTGCATTTGCTGTGCTCTCTGCCCACAGTGCTTTTCACTCAGACACCTGCTGGGCTTCCTCATCTTCCTCAGTGAGCTCTCTACCCAGGTATCACACCTGTGCCGTCTGTGAGCCTCCTATCTGAAGGGGCAACCCAGCCCCACATGCTTTCTCCTTCTTCTGCTTCATTTTCACTCTAGTGCTATACCAGGGAAAAGTGCATCATATATCTGTTTATTGTCTCTCTCCCACCTTCCACTGTAAGCTCCGTGAGGGCAAGAACTCTGCTCCTTTACAACTAAAGTAGTCCCAGCTTCTGGCACAGCTTAGGTGCTCAAAAAAATATTTCCTAAATGAATGACTGAAATGTTTGCAATTAAAATGCAAAAAGCATTAAAATAGAAATGAAATGCAAAATGAAATGAAGAACATGGGCAGTGGTGGATTTCTCAGTGTCACAGTTTGCCCTTATCCTAAGGTCACAAGAAGCCGCCGCCAGGCTCTCTGGCGGATTCCTCTCTGTGCTGTGGATTCCTCAAGCCCCATGGTCTCGGCTACAGGTACAACCTATCTCTGGGAGGTGTTAGCCGGGTGAAGACAGGCTCCTTGAGGTAGGAGCCAGGCCTGAGCCTGCTGACAGCAGGCCTCTGAATCTGCCCTACGAATGCTTTAATGCTTTCTTTCTTTTTCTTTTTTTTTAAGATTCCATTCATTCACTCATGAGTGACACAGAGAGAGAGGCAGAGATACAGGCAGAGGGAGAAGCAGGCTCCCCGTGGGGAGCTGGATGTGGGACTCCATCCTGGGACCCCAGGATATGACCTGAGCCAAAGGCGGACGCTCAACCCCTGAGCCACTCAGGTGTCCCCTACTCATGCTTTCTGAAGGCACGTATGGCTACACAGCATGTCAAGTTTATCCCTCCACTGTTTCTAAATTGGCAATCTATGGATTCTTTGGAAAAATGTTAATAAGTAAAGGGATAAATAACCAAAGGGTGTGTAAAGATTTCTAAGCTGCAAGACTTGTGTGTTGGGGAAAAGATCACAAATCTGTCTGGTTTCTGATCTGGGATCATCTTCCCATCGAGATTCTGTGAGATTTCTCAGAGAAACCCACAGGTCATCATTCCAGGTTAGGACAGTAACGATGCCCACTATGAGAGCAGCCAGCATTTTTGTCGAGCATTTACATGTCATGTGCTGTTCTAATCTAAGTATTTCGCTTAATCCTCACAGAAAACCTCTGGGGTAGATATTACTATCTTGAGTTAACAGATAAGGAGATTGAAATACATATTTTTTCCCAGAGTTGTATGGTTAGTAAATAGGAGTCTGACTCCAAATCCTGAAATGTTCACTTCAAAGCCCAAACTGTTGAGTGCTTGATGTTTTACTGCTCAAAACAGCCACTGGGAAAATAGACACATCAAACAGCTCATCTCCCCACCTTGTTTGTGTGACTTGAATATTAGAAAATTCTCATCCACTTGCTCCAGGACAAGGTGCCCTGTGCACCCTGTTCAGGAACTGTCCTTTTTCTTTTACTCCCTGTGCAGCTCTCTAGGGTCCAAGGGCCACTGGACAGCCCAGGCCCGATCAACCTGCATTTGAGCGGCAGAGGATGCAGTTACATCCCTGTGACCACGAGGGGGCACTACATGAAAATGAATGTCCCTTCCCGACCAGTGGGCCAGTTCAACCCAGAGCTATGCTCTGGAATAAAACCCAAACTGAAAAATAAGTAAATAAAAGGAGGCTCTATGGAGAGCGAATTGCACAGAATCACCATGGTTTTCGTGGCTTTTCTTCATCTAAGACCTCCAAGCACTGTGGGGATGTTAGGTAGTTTACAGTCTGTCTTAACCTTGGATTGAACACCTAATTTCAGTCCAATACTTGGGTAACATCTCCATGACCGGACTCAAGCCAGTCCACTGAGGATTCCAGTTTTAAAAATAAAAGGGAAAAAAGTTAAGAGTGAGTTGAACAGACTGGAGTCCACGCAACCTGGGCTGGGAACTCCAAATCCTGGGAAGGGATGGGGAGGAGCCTAAGGAGCTGAGAGTCTGTGCTCCAGTCCCTGGACCATTAATGTTGGGAGAGCATAAATAAGCCCCAAGAGGACAGGTAACGACCCCCGTAGCAGCTGTCATTTGCCGAACATTTGCCACGGGTCTGACTCTCTGCTAATTGCTTTAATAGATTAGTTTATATAGGTCAGTTTTAACAGATAATACATGATCTAGATATTATATAGATATTAACCTTTAATAGATAGTTTATTTAATCCTTACTCACATCCTATGAGGTACATTTTGTCATCCTGTTTTTCAGATGAAGAAACCAGGGTCAGAATGGCTGCCGCATGGCCATGGTCGTACAAGCAGCATGTGGAGTCCCCAGGTGGAGCCCAGGTAATTTGATTCCAGAACCCTGGCTCGCATCGCTGTGCCATACTGGGGTCTTGAGCTCTCTGCTGTTTCTGTTCCTGCACATTCTATCATAAGATGCTGCAAACTGGAGGGCAGTCTGGGTGGCTCAGCGGTTTAGTGCCACCTTCAGCCCAGGGCGTGACCCTGGAGACCCAGGATCGAGTCCCAGATGGGGCTCCCTGCAAGGAGCCTGCTTCTCCCTCTGCCTGTGTTTCTGCCTCTCTTTTTCTCTGCATTACACACTCTCATGAATAAATAAATAAAATCTTAAAAAAAAAAAAGAAAAAAGATGCTGCAAACTGCAGGTGTCGTGATTTAGGATGTATTGTTCTGTTTCCTCATGATCCCCATGACTCTACTTTGGCCTGTCCCCAGACCAAGGACCGCCCCCCTCCCCGTAACCCCCTCAAAAAGACTCTCCCTCTCTTACACCCTCTGTCCCCCCTCACAGAATCTCCCCTGACAGCTCTGACTTCCTTCCCAGTCTATCTGCTCTGCTATCCCATCCTGGTACTAGCGCTCATTCATCCTTTCCTGTTGTTTCCTCCGGCTGGTCTGTCCTCCGGCCTCTCTGTAACCTCCTGAGGCCAGGGGGATGGTGTGATAGGCTTCTGAGTACCTTGAAACACCTCACCTGGTACAGAGACCTGCAAAGAGCAGGCAATCAAAGGGACCCTCTGACTTATTTTGATTCCCCTCAGTCGTCCTCATACACATGACAAAAGCAAAGCTGTTATATAACTCACAGCTTCTAGAATTTATTACCTCTCCCAGGCTCTGCCTCTCCTGTTTGTCATCATAGCCCGAAGTGTAGAAAGGCTCATAGGTAATAAGATCCGGACGTTCAATATCATAAATTGCCTTGACCTTGGGAATGGCTGCTAAATCCTTATAATCCAGGATTTCATTGTCCACTTTTGCCTGGCAAAGTTAAACAGAAAGCAAAATTACTCTTCGGTCTCATTTCTTTTGGGAACTATTGTTAGTACATTTCATGTCTGGCTTGAAAGGTGAAGACCTTAAAAATAAACCCAAATCAAAACATTCTGCTTAGTTTTAAAACCAAAAACGTTTTGCTTTAGAAAGTTGCCTATTTATACCATGGATTAATCATGGTTTTAAAAAAAATAGTCATCAAAATCTTAGGAAAAAGTCTGTGTAGAATAAACTAAGTAGAAAAGCCTGTAAACCTTCAGGATAATTTCCCCAAATGTATTACAGAGATGGAGAAGCTCAACAGATGGTCAAAAAATTTTCCCAGATGGCTAAAAACAAGAACTGCATATTTGATAAACTAAATATTTAAATATCTTTGTGGCATAATTTAAAAATACTCAGTATCAGCATTATGAAATGTATGATTAATCCCCAAGTATCTATATCCAAGTTGGCCGTGGCAATTTTTAAAGTCCTGCACGGTATTACTGCACTTTATGGGTCATTGATGTTGCTGGTCACATTTGTATATAAATTTAATTACCCGAAGGAAAACATGATTGAGAGGGTTGATCTTCAAAAATGAAAACTGGAGCTCATAACATAAATAGAAGTTGTTTCGAATTATTCTATTTTTGGATTACCCACCCCACTATTACAATCTGCTGCTTTACCTGTCCCGAAAGGGTCTTTTCCAAGTGTAAATACTTACATAGATAGTATGACCTGGGGAGCCCGGGATACTGGAGCCTGGTCTAGAATAAATGCTTTCAGAGGAAGTCCTGGTAGGCTGTAAAATAAACAGTGTGTTGTAAGGCTTCAGAATCAAGACTGGCCTGAGTCCCTAGCATTTATTAAAAACTAAGCTGGTTAAAGAAAGATTTGTGACTTTCCTGAATAAGGAAAAATATAACCTAGAGAGAAAGGCAAAGGAGAACCAGCTGTGCAACCAGCCTTGAAAATGCATGTGGGGACTTTTGTTTTTACTTTCTCTTCCTCCTCCCTTCTACGACCTTCTGGCTCTGCCTTCGTGCACATTTCCCTCCACCCAGCCCCAGGCTCGAACTCTGCTCATCTGGACTATTGCAATGACCTTGCCTGAGGGTGTCCTGCGTCCATTCTTGCCCTCTTCCAATCCACTTGGTACCCAGTGGCCAGAGAGATCTTTTTTTTCTTTTTAAAGATTTAATTAATTCATTTGAGAGAGAGAGAGAGAGTGCGCACAAGTGTGGGGAGGAACAGAGAGAGGACAAGCAGATGCCACGCTGAGTGTGGAGCCCCACATGGGGCTCGATCGCACAACCCTGAGATCATGACCTGAGCTGAAATCCAGAGTCAGACACCTAACCACTGAGCCACCCAGGCGCCCCTGGAGAGATCTTTTAGGAACAGAATTTGGTCACTACTTTTGGCTTCAGCGGCCACTTAAAATCACAACTCCCAGCACCTCAGGGTTTTGATCCTGCTTTCCTCTCCTCCTCCTCACTTACTTCACACCATCACTCATGGAACATGGTGCATGTCCCTGCTTCAGGGTTCTTCTATTCCTCGCTGTTCCCTCTGCCTGAAATGCTCTGATCCCTAATTTTACTTGGTTGATTTTTTTCCCTTCTTCAGTCTTGGCTTTAAATATCACCTCCTCAAGGAAGCCCTCCCTGATCTTTCAATCCAGAAGGGTTACCCTTATTTTCTCTTAGTATCTCTCTTAGTTTTCCTTTAGGAATAAAATTTATAATTCCATATGAATCGGGGTGTTTTTGTTTTTGTTTGCATCCTATCTCCATCATTAACTTCAGTTACCATCCCTGCCCTCACAGGTTGTGTGTGTTTGTGTTTTTTTTTTTTTTTTTTTTTAACCACTGTGTATGCCTGTTTTGCACAGTTATGTAGAAGGAATAAATATTTGTTGAGGGAATGAGCTACAATTTATTATTCGTAAACACTCAGTTTGTGGATACCTGGCTAGTGTTAATTACATGACGGGAACCCAACCACACAGAGTCACTGAAGTCAGGTTAGCGGTCAGCCACCGGGAAAGACCAAAGAAACTGGCCTTCTAATACATGCTTAGAGGACCCTGAGACTGGGTGGAGGTGCTAGCAGTGGGAAGGAAATCTATTAACTAGGATTAATTGCCTCCCACTCTCCCTGGCACATTCTGGAAAGCTCCACAAAGAAAACCAAAGGTCTAGTCTTAAAAGGCCTTCTCCCCTCTGGACAGATATTTTTTGGAGAGGAAAATTTGTAATTCTCCGCTAGAATTGGATCTTTCCTCTTTGCTACCATTTCTACTGATATTTGGCATCTTGAAAGTGAATGTAATGGAGCCAAAAAAACTCCTAAAAATAAGGATGTTGTATCACTCTGTAATTCACATCTGAAATAATGAGAGCAAACCCACCTGGCCAATTCAAGGCAGAGAGTGATTAGACTCACTCTAACAGAGAATTCACTGGAGGGTTGTGATGGATTATTCTCGTGTCTTTGAGATACCAGGGTGGAGGGGGCTGGAGAAGTCACAGTGCTGGTGTAGCAGGCTCATCGCTTCTGGTCCCCCTCCCCAAGACCTGCCACATACAAGTACTTTCCTCCAAGGCCTAAATTTTCCAATCACATGCACATCTCAATATGAGAAAACTCTCAATTCTGAGTCTACTGAGAAAGAAAGGGCTCACATAGTAACACTCCTCAAAGAACTCCAATTCCTTGGTCTGTTTCCCAATCAAAAGAGAGAAATGACACTACACCAGAATCTAGTCCTCCTTTTAAAAGATGCCATCCGTTAATAAAGTTGAGCCAGTATGCCTCTGGGTGGGATAACTATTAACTGCAGGTGGTCCTTCGGCTTCAAGTGGCTGGCAGCAAATATGTGCCAACCCAATATCAAAGTGAAACCTGGTAAGTAACAACGCAAGAATATTAGAATATTAGTGGCAGCTAACGTTTGTCGTCTGCTTACTATGTGGCAGGCTCTGGGAGGAGCATTTTCCAGGCTTGATCTCACTTTAATCTCAATAGCACCTTGAGCCAGGTTCTGTTATCATGAGGAAGAAGTGTGCAAGCTCTCAGCTACACACATACTCAAGTGTCAGGATACGAAGCCAGGTGCCCTAGGGGTGGAGCCCAAGCTTTTAGCTCCTGCACTAAGGTCTCCCCCATACTGTAAGACAAATGTGACCACTTCTCTCTCATCAACATAGCTAATGGGATGGATGAAGTGAAGATAGAAGAAAAAAATTGACATCAACTAGCAGAAGGGAGTGTCCTTAGCTCCACAAGAAGCCTGCAGTGGCTCTGAGTTGGGGTGCGGTAGGAAAGGAGGTAGTGAGGGACAGTCAGACATCTTCAGCTACTGGCATGGTTATGACAAAGCCCTGTTTTCACTGACAGACAGCTAGGACATTGTGTGAATAGCCTGAGAACGCACTGAGTCTTGGGGTCTCTCCCATGTCACTCATTCTATTTTTGCCAAATACGGGTCAGGGATACTCTCTGCCTTCCCTGTAATCATGCACCTGGGGTGGCTCTGAAGTATACGGTTCCCTCGTGTGCTGCGCACGCGGATAGGAATGTAGCTGGAGAGCCAGGTGAACGCATGTCTGGGATGAGGTCTGTAAGCTTCTCTTCCAGGGTTGAGGAACTCCACAGAGGGAAAAGTTCTCTCGGCTGAACCAGGCTGTTTCCACACAGGCTCTCTCTACCTTCTTTCTTCACCACGTTAGAGGATCTGTGGCTTAAGCAGGCTTCCTCTGAAGCCTTCAGCTGGTTCATTTACATCATGACTGGTGGAGCTTAAGGTGTTAAGGGTGATCCGACAAGTCTCATTTCATTCTTAAAGGTTTTCAAGCTGAACCACCTCCATTTTGCACACACCTGCCCCGGGCTCTCTGATTCTAGAGTAAATATTTTAGATTTTTACAGTCAGACTTGTGCTCAAAGTCAAGTTGGCTATTCACCAAATCTAACGATGCCCTGGCTCTCGTGGAGAGGTCAGGCCGCCGTGAGCATCTTCAGACCATTTAGCACTGGGAAACGCTCCAGATGTCTCTTGGAAATTCAGAAGTTCCTCTTCATTTCACTGCATTTACTGTTGTTTGCTTTTGCTTTATTCTGGTCTCCTAACCTTACTTAAAACCTACTTCCTACTCATAGGCATCTTGCTTATGAGTTACATCCTTGCTTATTTTCTTACAATGGCTCTTCTGTTTTCCTGTTTAAAATGAAATAATGGAATAAAACATGACTCTGTGTAGTATAGTATGGGGGGGTTAGAAGGCTGGATTTGGAGTCAAGATTTAGTTCAAATCCTGGATCTCCTAGCTGTGTGACATTTTATGAGTTTTTCTTTCCTTTCTTGCTTTCTCTCTCCCTTTTTCTTTTGACTTCCTTTAGCTTCAGCTTCTCAAAGGAGGAGAGGGTACTCGAATCTAGTTTATAGGGACAAAGGAAACACCTATAAAACTTAAAGCACCTTGCCTCGCCCAGGGCACGTACCCATTTTCAGCATTTTCCAGACACTGGACTTTGACTGGATTTCTTTCTCAATCTCACGTAGTGAAGGAGACCACTACCGGTGTTTTGTTCTTCACGACAGAAGAGTCCTTTCAAACTTGAGCTCCGTGGAGAAGAGGTCCGTAGAGCCCTCTACAGCTAGTGCACTTGCTTGCACTCTCATCAGAACTTAGATTTGTGAAGTCACTTATCACCATACATGGGGCAGCAGTCAGATTGCCAAACGCCCCCCCCTTCTCAAGAACTCTATTAAGTGATTATGTATCCGCCTGAGATGGTGACTTCCTGCTTAGGTCTCAGGTTTACTAATTTATGCCCCTGCCACGCCAGATGGCCAAAGACCTTGCACATGCCCGTCTTATCTACCAGTACAGTTCCTGGTTCTCTGTCTCTTTGTGCTCCAGGCTTAAAAAGCATACATGATTGCTTGCTTTCCTGCCGCAGTCCCAATGGCTCCCGAGGTGTATGTGCTCGACCAGTGGAGGTTAGAGGGCCCTCCTTCGTGAAGATAATAAGATTACTTTTTTAAAACACAACATTGGTTTGGGTATTTTAATCTTAAATATTTGGAATTTTACATTTCAATTCAAAGATCTAGAATTCTAAAAATGTTGAATTTTAAATGAACAACTTTATTATGAAAAGAAACCATTTTACTTGCTGAGGGTCTCTGATGGCCAAGATAGCCTCAAAAGGCACACAGCTGTCTTCCAATACAGCAGCTCAAATCCACTCCAACTGAAACTCATTTAACCTGAAAAACAACAACTTACTGCCATGCTTTCCCTCTTTCCAATCCCACTGACTGCTTCTTCTTTACCATGAACTTAACTCTAGTGTCACCCTGCTGGGCTAGAACAAAGTTTTACAGGTGAGCCACATTTCCACAGAAGATCCTTATAGGCAATTATTTAACCTGCATTACTATTTTCAACCCATTCTGATATTCAAGGTAACAACAGTGACCCAGTAATTACTGAGTTCAATAACCCAATGGGTCAGCAGCCTTTGTGAGCCTCTGTGAGAGTTATGACGAACAAAATTACTCTCTCAACTACACAGCTGACCCTTAAACAGTGCCAAGGTCAGCAGCACTGACCCACTGTGCAGTGGACAATCCACGTATAACTTTTGACTCCACCCAAAACTTAATTATCAAAAACCAGCTGTTGAACCTGAAGCCTTACTGATAACATAAACAGTTGAATAACATATTTTGCATGTTATATGTATCTCATACTATACTCTTATAAGCAAGTTAGAGAAATGTAATTAAGAAACTCCAAAGGAAGAGAAAATACATTTGTTAGTACTGCAGTGTATTTATATTTAAAAAAAATATATATGAGTGGACCCACATAGTTCAAACCTGTGTTATTTAATGGTCAACTATATTATAAAAGAGAATTTCTAATATTTATTCTCAAAGATATATCCACTTCTGTTCTACAGAGAAAGGAAATAGGATCTGTTGTTAAAAGCAGATGCAATTTACTTATTTTAATTTAAGCACCTTGCCCCCCATGCCTTATGGAAAAACCAACTTGAAAGCACAGTTGAAAAATTCAGTTCTATTTTTTAGTGTCATCTTTGCCCCCCCCCCCAAAAAAAAAGAAAAAAAAAGAAAAAAGGCAAGGCAAGGGTGGAGAAGGCAGAGTAGATATAGAAAGGATTATAGACTGGCTGTGATCTCTCAAAGCATTATGCTAATAAAATTAGGCAGAGAATTTAATCCTTATTTTGGCAACAGGAGGAAAGGAGCTTCACTAAGAACCTTGTATTGCATGTGGTTGTCCTCGTTCACTCTGTCATCAAGGGGTCCATGTGACCTACATTTATTCCCCCAGCACATGTTCATGTGCCCACTTTTGATTTCAAAAAGTTTTATTTTTCTCAAAAAAATCAACACGGATAAGTCTCACCAGAAGACGAGTAGTTTGTTTCAATAAGGAAGAGAAAAAAAAATGGCATTTGATCCCTTATAGTGGTTGCTTGAAAATACATGTTTCTTTGTTTTTGGCATACAATCTTTTTAAAAGCCCTCTAACTACCTTACAGATGATTTTTTCTCTATGCCTTGACTTGGTCCATCTGTCCTACCATTCCGGGAGGCATAGTCACAAAGTGAGAATTACATTGAAGACATCTCTTTATGCTTCCATGCATCTCTAATCCTTCTTCAGATTTTGACCATTAAAAAAGACTTACCAGAGCTCTGCTTGGTGAATAAGCAGAGGAATAATAGTTTCCAGTTACTTCCATTAAGGGCCATCGTGCACATCTGGTCCCTTCTTGGTGGGGGAGTGCCAGAAAGCACTCTGCTGCCCCCGCCCTCCCCACTTTCAGCAGGAGCAAGGGTGCGACAACTACCCATCTAACTTGCATTCTTCCAAAGCCATGCTCTAAGGAGGAGGAGACACTACAGGCAACTGAATGGGATAGAGTTGATGAATGCCAAGGGATGACTACTGATATAAGGTGATTGACACCTTATACGAAGTGCTGCTGAGATTGACAGTACCTGCCTTGGATTTTTGTTGAAGTTCACTAGACAAGGTGGTGATAATAGCTGCAGAAGAAGGAATACTTTTAAAATCTGCATACATTGCATGTTCATTGCTAAGTCAAGGAAGGGTGAAATTAATTCCTTTGGAGAAAGAAGTTTTGAGCTAATGGGCATACCAGACCCTTCTCTGGAGAGTTTCACAAATGCCATCAGCCTTTACTATGGCCAAGAGCCTCAATGTCTTTCCAGGATAAATCTTAATCCCTATAATTCTGATGAATTATAAAAACAGACCAAAATAGAATAAAATATTCGAATAAAGTAAAAGACTGGAATAAAGCAGCATGTATTGTAGTGATGTTAATAAAACAATAGCCAACATTATCTCCTTGTTCGAGACATATATAAAGCCTCTATTTAGCTCTTTAAAAAATATACACATGGTATATGTTTGGTATATTATAGGTTTGCAAGTGCATATAATAGTGAATGTTAGTTTCAAAAGAAAAAAATCTCATGCCCATTTTGTATGGCAGTCCATTCATGCTTTAGCCTCCAAACACACATCAGAGATGCTCCTTTTTAGAATACAGCAAGTGATCAACTGTGGATTCTAAAAAACTTTGTCTGGGAATGCCATCTGCTTTGACTATAATGAATTATAGCAGAAATTACAAATGTTTAATATCGACTTTTACCTATAGACAAAATTCACTATTCATATAAAACTTGTCCAAGTAAGTAAAATTGAAAGTTCTTCTTAGGTAATTCTACTTCATCATTTTCTTTTACCCGTATTTCAGCCCGAGGAGACAAGGAGCAACTGCAGAATATAAATAATAAAATGACTTTCCTCCTTTAAATTTCTTCTACAACAAAACCAAGACTTGCTTCTGGAGCACAGAGGGCTGAATGTCCCTGCAAGAGTACAGCTGATTTACCTAATAACTAACTATCATTTCTGGTGAAATGAACTGCTTGTGTAAGGCATCTAAAAGATCAATATATCTGTGTGACCTGAGGATTGCCTTGGAATTTTCAGGCTTCTCAAAAGTTCTGGTGAGCTGTTCCTCAATAGCCAATGGTAAAGGGAGACCTTGTCAAATGGCCTATTTCCTTGCCAGATCCCAAGCTGTTTACAACTTTCTGTGATGGAGCTGAAGTTGACTTCATTGATATTTATGGCTGGATAATGGGAATCAGATGTCCCTTTTGAACCAGGACAGGAAGAGAGTAGTTATTAAAAACAGAGCTCTCTCTCCTTCAACCCACCACTACCTAAGAGGCTCTTTCAAACTTAAGGGTCTGGAGCAAACCAAACAATCTCTCACTCAAAGATTAAATTTTTGTTCAAAATGCATCACTTGACTATAGCCTCAGGCTAACAAGATAGAACACTATTTGAGTTATAAAGCATACTTTTGGGAAAGGGATCCAAAAACTATTGAAAAAGCAACTTCTTGCCAAATAGAGGTTCTAATTCTGAGCAACACTCATTTGCAGTGGGGGCAGTCTTTGGCTGTTCCACTGGATTCAGGAGACTATAATTTCACTGCATGTGAAAACTCTGCCACTGGAGCTGAAGCTTTAAGATAGACTGAAGATCATAATGACAAATACAAGTTGGAGGGTAACCCAGTATTGTGGGCCAACATAACGCACCCGAGGCCTGGAATCTGCAGTTAAGTCTTGCTGCTGATGCCGGGGCAGGGGTTGGGGGCACCTTGGGCTTACCTCATTCTATAGATGAAGACACTTGGGGGGTGACGTCTAAAAGGTTCCTTTCTGCTCTAAATGTACATGCTTCAAACTCTCTTCCAAACCATTTAAAGAAAGAATGTAAAGTTTTAATGAAAGTACACTAAGCAACTCTCCTCAACCTTAGCACTCTTCGAGCAGGCACAGAAAAAAAAGGTGTATGCACAGAGACCAGACTAAAGTGTTATGTTATAATCTGGAATTGTTAGCAGATCTAAAAAAAAATGGGTTTCATCTGGGCCAAGATCAACTTGTAGAAAGTTATAATTGAATTGGTTTCAGCAGATTCTCAGGAACCCCAGAAGGAGGTCAAGTATGTGAAGGGAGCACCATCTCCTGCTTCGCTGTTCATCTGGAGAGCTGGATGAGCCCTCTCCTGGCTTCTGGATGGTTCTGCAGGTCATGCTGCCCTCTTTCTTAAACACATCAGACTTAGCACGTGGTCTTCCCCTCCTGTCTTCCTAAGTTCCCCTGTGGCGTAGTGGAAAGAGCACGAGTTATGAACTCAGAGACCTGCCTTCCACTCTTAGCTCTTCCACTTACCAGTGGGCTAACTCTTCAGGAAATCACTCAACTGTGATGAGTCTCAGTCTCTCACCTGAAAATGGGGGTGAGGACAGCTACCTCACAGCAATTCTTAGGGAGAGCAAAAGAGAGTGTATTTAAAGCTCCTGGCCTCGGCAAAGTAGGCGCCTGGTCCCTCTTGTCTCCCTTCTCACTTCACTACTGCTTTCTTGAGCCAAAGTGCTCCCTACCCAAGCACTGTGTTCCTCGGCTCGGCATTGCTGCTGTTCTCACCAGCCACACCCCCCGGCATCATCTCTATGTGTGCTCATCTCCACGGACCTCTACAACTCAACTCAAAGGCCACTATCCCCAGGAAGTGCCACTGAGATTCTTTCTCTCATCTGACATGTCCTCATCTATGTGACAGGTTTCTAATACCACTTTATAATCATTTGTCTATTATTTATGTGTCTTTCCTGCTGGTCTAGGTCTAGAGCATCCAGCCTTGCACTCACTCTACCTGGGTGCTTGGCAAATATTTGTTCAATGAACAAATGTGTAGATACAGGACCAAAGGGGGAGCTTCTAATGTGCTCGGTTGAATGAAGGTAATGCTTTAGCCAGTACTCTAATGAAAACAATACTCAGAAAAGGAAACAGCCAGATCAGAATGTGAGATGCACTCTGTGGGTGAGAAAAAGCATTTGCTTCTGCAGGAGCCACAGAAGTTATGTGGGGAAAGCAGCATGGACAGGATAAGCGATAGAAGCCTCGGACTAGGACAGCGTCTCTAAGCCTTGGCTTAGACACAGCGCCAACCTGCAGAGACGGTGACCGTCCTGTGCGTCGAACCAGACTTTTGGGATAAAAGAAATCGGAGGAAGAACGATGACTGTTTGGCAGCTGCCATAAAACATGAAAAAAGGGAAGAATGAACAAAGAAATAAGCTCAATTTAGAAACACCACACAACAAAACAAAACAAAACAAAACCTTTGGGAAAATGAATTTGATAGTAAATGTCAAGTGGCATTGCTTTATAGTTGTGTGTGCGTGCGCGCGCGCGCGCGTCGGAGAGCCCATGTTTAAAAGCATATTAACTGGTCTTCAAGTTATAGTTTACTCATCTACATTCTAACTCCCCATGATTCCTTTTCCATTTATTTCGGCTTAGAAATTTCTATACGTGAAGAGTAAGGAGCCAATGAAGCCATTGAGAGATGTCCTTAAGAATCTGTCATTACAAATGCCCTGTGAGTTCTTAAATACCAAGAATGTGGATTACTCAGTGGGGTTGCAGAGATTCTTAAAACATTTTCATTTTGCTATGGTAACTGCACTGATGTGATACCCCGTGAAAGGCTTGGAAACCTTGGCTCAAGGTCTGTGATCTGAAGACACACCCTTAAGAGAGCACAACATTTATTCAAACTAATTCAAAAACCAATTCCCTTTTAAACCCCACCGACGTCAGCACATACCTCACTCAGGGCACCCTGGAACCTTTTCCCCTCTGGAGTGCTCTATTCTACACACTATGGAGCTTCCCAAAGGTGAGCAAGCTGAGGGTTGGCCTGACCTCCCAAGTGGTTGAATGTTGGCTTCAGGAGAAAAGCTTTGGAATTTTCTGGAAAACTTTACTAAAGGAAGAAAAGCTAATAGCTCTTCTTGGCCAGAAAGAGAAGTATTTCACTAGTTGTTTTCATAGGCTTAACCAGGGAGTTCTATCAAGATGCAATCAAGAATTTTTTTCTTTTTCTTTCTTTTTTAAGTATTATTTTAGTCACACTATCTGCAAACTCAAGCAATCCTTATAGAGAAAAGACCCACATTCCATGCAGTCTGGTCTCATTAGCATTCTTCTCCTCATCTCCCAAAAAGCTTCATCAGGGATGAAGTGAAAATGATTATTCAAAAAACTGAGAGCAACACTGTAGAGAGTACAGACCACTAGCTACTTGGGTGGTTTCTGGGCAGTGTCCTCAAGCTATGCTATGAATTTTACATTCTTATGATAAGAATGACAATAATTACTATCTTTAATGTTCTAGGATTTTATAAAGATACAATAGTCTTTATATGCTTTATATTCCACAGCATCCATAGCTCCTAAAAAATTTTAGACTCTGGTGCCCAACATGGGTGATTGCCAGTGTGCACCTGCCTGGTGGATGGGCTTGAGGGTTAATACACATCATGCTCAAGCTGAAGCTGTTATGTCGAAATAGAGACCAAACCCATCCTGATTTTGGTGGACAGATTCCTTTTCAGTTTGTCTTTTTACTCTATTCTTCCAAGAAAAAGGTTTTAAAAAAATCTTTTCCATAAAAATATGATGCCAATGGGGTTAGGATGCGTAGATGCTTATACCTAATAATGGCAGTTTAAGCAGATCTGACACCATACTCTAGAGTTTGGCTTCCAAAATAAATTCAGGCCATTCTTTTCCCTGAGATGCCAAACGGAACACAAACTACAGTTTTTCCAAGGGTACCACTAAATCAGCCAAACTGAGAGGCTGTGGCCTGGGTTCCAGTGCGATTATTGCTCAGAAAATATTTCACAGTCTAAGGGAAAAACTAGGGCATCTGAACAGGATATAGATAATGATCCTGACTTATAAGGGTGTACAGCTCTTTGCTTCTGAAACACATAAAATAGTGTCATCTGGAGGTCTTGTCAGGGTTGAATAAGACCAGGAGAAGGCTTCAGAAGTGGGAGATGAAGAGGCTCTATCCTTCTGCGAGTGTGCTTCGGTGAGGACAGTTACTGAAGCATTTTGATGTTACCTAAGAGTTAAGTTACCAGAATGCTTATTCACATTGACACTTCTGGGCTCATCATTGTTTTCCCTAAAAATTTTATCTGACAAACCACTGGCTTCTGGAGATAGAGGCTACTCAGTGAAATTTGGATTTAAGAGGTCAGTAAAATGTACCATGGATGCAGAGTTTGGGTCAGGGTGGTACCTTATGGGCTAAGTACAAAAACGTCTGGTGAGGTCACCAAATGTTGGACCTAGAACTTTATGAATCATTTTTTCCCATCTGTATGGTTTGGTTGTTCCCTTGAATGCTTTCCTATGAACCCGACTGGTGAGGCAAGGCTTACTTTCTCCGACACAAACATTTAGAACAAAAAACACAATCGGTTTAACATAGGAAGGAAGAGGACCTCCTTCCTTGGCCAAATGGTCTTTCAACTTGATCTGCTATTAAGAAAAAAAAAGTCATGAAAAAGCAATTTCACCCAAACTCCAGCTCCAAGAATAAACGACTATGACACAGACAGCGGCAAATGCACCTGGCATCACAGTTCTAATTGTTTCCTTACCCGCAGCTTTTCCTCAGTCTTGGTAGATTGCTTACAGTCGGGATGCCAAACGGTGGAACCTGGAAAGACATGGTGCCCGCAAAGCATTAAAGGAAATGGAAAGAAGCCATAGTCCTATTAGCCAGAACTCCTGAGAACAGATCATATCCTTCTCTACGGAGAGAGGGGAGTGTTAGAGCCCTGTGCCCAAGTGAATTATGACAACTCTAACCTCTGGGTGAGTTTTCCTCAACCAGTCTGAGCTTGCTCTATAAAGGTGATAATTCTAGACCACAGAGACCACTAATGGGCACAACAGTGTTTTGATTCAAGAGATATTTAGTTCTTGACTGAGTGTTGTCGCTGTTGCTTTGGACCATAATATTATCCTTTAAAAGTCATGACTGTATCTTTACTACAAGCTGTATTTAATTTAAATATAATCCATAAACCATGTTTATAGAACATCAAAACAACCAAGCAATTGAGATGAGGGAAATAGAGTCAAACCAGATAGTCTATATCCAGAAGCAAAACTCACTGAATTTTTTTGTTGATCCAATTACACAGTCATTTACAAAGATACAGAAAATCAAGCCAAGTAGTAGAAAGGTTGAAAGTTATATTCCGAATGCAGAAGTTTTCTTTAACTTTTAACCTTTAATTAACAAAAAAAGGTCTCCACTTGTGAATGAGTGAAATTACTGGTTAAGTGCCCCCCCGCTTTTTTTTTTCTGTCCCTGAGTCAATGCTTCACCTTCTTAGAGTATGTAACCCTTCTCTGGATGGTGCCCATATCACACAACTAAGCAAAACACTTATATATCAGAGAAAGTTCTTATAAGAATCCAAGCCCACTGATATGATTTTGTATGCCTAGATATATATGTCATTTAAAGAGTTGTGGGTAAGACCTAGATGTCTTTTTTTTTTTTAAGATTTTATTTATTTATTCACAAGAGACACACACAGAGAGAGGGACAGAGACACAGGCAGAGGGAGAAGCAGGCTCCATGCAGGGAGCCCAACATGGGACTCAATCCAGGATCACACCCTGGGCTGAAGGTGGTGCTAAACCGCTGAGCCACCAGGGCTGCCCCTTAGATCTAAGTCTTATGATCACATAAGGATATGTTCAAATATGGTTATGGGCAGAAGAACTGAAGGAGCCCTGGGTAAGACTTGAGCAAATAAAGTTACTAAGTTGAAAGCAGTAAGTAAGTGATATAAATTTAATAAGTGTTAGCATGAATATCAGACTTCCCACATTTCATTGTCAAATTTTTATCTGTTCAAGCAACAATCTGTGTGTACTTGAAAAGTCACTAAATTACAGTAACTCTTGAATTATACCACTGAGCTAAAATGGCTAAAATAGTATTAACCACAAGATAATACCTTTTATATCTGAATAATACTTGAATCCCTATTTAACAATCATTTCTATCTTGCTTAACCAAGAGCCAAAAAAAATAAAAAAAGAAAATGAAACAAACAGACCAGACAGACACATAGTCCTTTCAGCATTAACATTTACTCTGAGGCTGGCTACAAAGCACAGGAAATCCTCTTAATGCGGAAAGCCAAGGGTTGGGGTGGACCCAACAGCAGCATTCGCTGTGAAGGTTCTACTGAGTAAAAGCCTTTGGCCAGAATACTGGGTTTGCACAGTGTCACACTGTTCTTCAGAGGTCAGCCACACAAGGAATGTGACTTGGGGAGAATATCAGATGCTGAGGAAGATGAACTACTCATTCTTCAAGGATGTGCCAAGAGGGCAGACAGAGAGCGCTGAAGCCCAACTCCAGAAGACATTTACAACAATCCCTGGAATTCCGAGTATAGCCCATCTTAACGGATACTTGTTTATTTGTAGTATGAATGTGCTGCATTTGTGCACAGCTTGAAGTCACTCTCTATTCAGGTTCCAGAACCATGTGAACGTGCAGAGCTGCACCCAGAGCCTTTGAGTCTCAGTTCCTAGCAGACATGGGGTTAACACACACTCTTGTGTCTTTGTTTTTGAGTGCTATGATTGACACACTAAAATCTAAAACAAAGCCTGGAGATCAAATAGAGAATAAATCTGCTTCATGCTGAAAATGCAAAGTGACACCTGCCTATTGCTAGGCAGATTCACAGCCTGCCCTCGGGAAAATGTGTCATATAAAGTCCACATGAGACCACGGTTTTGGGGGCTTGTCACTTGCCTTTATTGGGACCTTCAAAATTCGGTGACTTTTTTCATCAGAACTTTGCAAAGTCGTCATTAAAACTAAGGGATATTTGGATTGTCAATTTCTCATTTACCTAGCATTTTTTAGAGGAGAATAGGTAAGACTTTGCTTTAATATTCAAGAATCATTTCTATAGACATTTCTTCGTTGTATAAAAACAACATAGAGAGCAAAGCAAACCATTCATTAAAATACACATAGTGTTAAGTGCAGAAAGACAAAGAAATGAATACGAAGGCAGATGAGACCCGGTAATTACCAAACTAAATGAGCACCAGCTCTCATGGTTCTTGCTAATTTTACTGATAAGCCCTTGTCAATTTAATGACTCTTTTTCCAGCTAAAAATAGTAAAATGTTTGTGCAGATGGTGCTGTCTGACTGGAAGAGAATCCTCCCCTAAGCTTCCTTCTGAGAAGTTTCAGTATTTTAGGGGAGATAAAAACTAGTTATGGTTGTACACTGGGAAAATTTCTCAGAATGATTTTTCAATTAAAAAAATCCGGGGGGTGCCTTGGTTAAGCATCCAATTCTTGATTTTGGCTCAGGTCATGACCTCAGCATTGTGAGACTGAGCCCCAGGCTGGGCATGGAGCCTGCTTAAGATTCTCTCCCTCTGCCCCTTCCCTGCTCCCTCCCTCAAAAAAAATCTGATGGCCCTCTGGTAAGTAATGAGTACTTCTTTGCCACGAGAAACTTCTCCATTTCTCTTTCTACTCTGGGTATGTTTTCTCTCATTCTCTAGCTCTCTCTTTCTTTCAATATGACAGCTACATCATCTCAATGGGATGAAATACATCTGTGATGCAATTCACCAAGTATGAGGTTTTCTTCTTCCTGAAAGCCTGCGTAAGAGCAGGCTGGAGGGGTCAAAAAATCCTTCTCATAGGATAGTGAAAGGAGCAAAGACAAAGTAGCCTCTATGAATGCTTTTCCTCTTTTGTCTTCTTTCCCAAATTTCCTGGTGAAGGTTGGGAGGAGGTATTTCTGATTTTCAATCTTACCTCACCTCCATAGCACCAAACATCAAGGCCTATTCATGTGTTCTAGAAGCAACACATTCCTTTTTTAAAACAGATTCAGGGGCTCACTGCCAGCAATGTCAACTGCTTGGCTGAGTAATACTAACTGACGAGGTAACTTTGGGCCACATTCATTTTGGATCTGGGGAGCCTGGCCACTAATGAAATGCCTCCTTCTCTAGAAACAAACAAACAAACAAACAAACAAAGCAAGGTTTTCTTTTCCCAGATGGGAAGAACTTAATAAATTCTTGAGTTAACCTTACCTTGAAGATACATTTCCTCTCCTTCTGTGAACATCTGGTTGCATCTGCTGCATCGTGCACAGCTGGGGTGGTAATGTTTGTCACCTGCCTGCAAGAGAAGAGGTAGGGACTATTTAGTTTACACCTTGTCTCAGCTCTCAGCCTCTTTTCTGGACTCAGGGATTTGGAGGAAAAGAGAACAGCTGAGGCAAGAAAAATAATTGTCCAATTGACCTAACCTCCGATACCAACAGCCCTGGAAGCTGAAACTAACTCCATCAGAACTGGAAGGGCCTTAAAGACCAGTTATTGATGCCTGGATGATGGGGCTACCTTGCTTCTCAGGGTTTCCGGCATCTATCTCTCTCTTGGCCTGGTCGCTCTTGGATGGTTGCCAGTCACACACCATGTGTCTGCGATGAGTCCACTCCGTCTCCAAAAATGGTACCCCCAAAACATTAATACTCAAATTGATGTGGAGACTAATACTGGTTTGTACTAATGCAATAAAAAGAAAGGATTCTCATATCTAGCAGGTTCTTGCTTTCTTAACTACACTCTCTAAAAATAATAAAATCTATTTAGCTTACATCAAGATGGGAAAAACCATAAGATATCAACAGCTTTCACCTCAGAAGGACCCCAAATTCTCTTCTTTGTTGCTTATAACAATCTTTTACCAAAGTCTTATATTGTTTTCTGAAAAAGGCATTTTACTGAGGCGGCCTTGCATTATTCATGAGCATTTCACATTCCTAAATATGACAGATGCCATCACAGCAGGTGTTGACTTCCCCAAAGCAAAATGTCACTGGACACAGGGACAATTCTGTAGACAGATGCCAAGTCACATTAGAGTCATGCTCCAAATGCATGCCTGACAAAATGAAATCTTTCTGTTTATAGCTTAGCAAAAAATCTTCACCACCTGAAAGTTATCAAATATACTCTGAAATGAAATTTTATCAACCAACTGTGAAGCATTTCTTTTGCATGAACCACATGCAAGGCAGTTAGTGCTGAGAACCCAGAGTTAGAAGTAACTGCACCCTGTGCTTGCATGAAATCTCAACAGGAAATCAGAGGTCAGGTAGTGATTCCTTTCTCACACCCTCCAGTAGAAACTACAAAGCCACTTAGCAACCAGAGTGTGAGATGGTGGTTGGTTACTCAAGACAATCAAGTGGAAAAAAAGTGAAGTTATCTCAAAATAGAAGCCAGGAATGAAATCTGTTCAATGCTGCCAATCAGAAAATTCTAGAAGTGGTGCTCTTGTTTTAGTTCACACGCTATTACTTAATTATTTTTTTCCAGGGGATGAAGGAAGCATAGGAAATGTCACACAAAGTAGTTCCTTCCCTTAGGCCACCCAGGGTCAAATGTGAGTGAAAGGGGAGAAAGAGAGAAGTCACACTAAGTTCTAAACCACTATAGTTCAGCTGGGATGCCAATGCTGAGAGTTCCCAGACAGTGTGGACAATCTCTGGATTCTCAAGGAAAATGTAAGTGGAAAAATTAAGGCACTTTGACAGGAAGCTTGTGTAGTCTACAATAAAAAGCACACTCCTCAGAAAGCTGGGAGTAGAAAGAAAGATCTTCAAACTGATAGAGTGTATTTATCATATTTAGAGGTGAAACATTAGGTGTATTCTCAACAAAGACAGCACTCACACAATAGCTGACACTTTCACCAAAGTTTTTAGGTTCTAGTTTTTTTTTAGTTTAGTTTTAATTTCACCAAACTCTTTTAGTCTTAGCCAATGTGATACAGTAAGAAGAAATAAACATGCAGGTCACCAATGAAAGAGCTCAAACAGCTTGATAAAAAACAAAATAAAACAAAACATCTAAAACCCCACAGCTTTCCTATAGACTAGCGATACAAATTTAGTTAGTGTAATGGGAGAACGGGACTCCATTTCTAACAGCAACAAATAAACCCTTCAATGCAAGATCTACATAAAGAAAACTTTAGAATTTAATTGATGGACATAAAGGGCTAACAATCATAAGGTAGACATGTTCATGGGTGGTACTGAAGGAAAAGAGAATCTAAACGTCTTTGGGGTCAAGGTCATCTCATTTAGACATATATTTCTGGATGAGGAAACTAAATGTTTAAAGATGTCAATTTATCTAAAATGAACCTATTAATGCAATGCATTCTCAACCACAATACTCAAAAGAGTTTTGTCTACAGACCTTGACATCCTGATTCTGTAAGTTCATATGGGAAAAAAAAAAGTGCACAAAAATACAGACATTTTTTGAAAAACAGAGTATCAATTAAGGGGGATTTTCCCTTCCTGATATAAAAAATTATTCTAAGGCTCAAACAATTAAAGTCCTCCAATACTGGTACAGGAATAGAAAATAAATTAGTGAAACAGATAACATAGAAAAACCAGTTGCACAGCTATACACAAGATAATTTAGTCTATGATAAAGGTGGCATTTCAAATGAGTTGCAAAACAGATTATTCCATTAATGGTGAGAACAATGGATTCTCTACTTAGAGAAAGGTAAAACTAGATTCCTAGTTCATAACCTACACCGAAAAGAATTCTAGAGAGTTACAGAGGTAAATATAGAAGGGTATATAGGAGATAATTTAGTATACTTGGGCTAGGAATGCTTCCTTAAACAAGGCAAAATCTAGAAACAATAAAGGCAAATAATGACTTCACACACACATATAAATGTCTATACATAAGAAAGTTAAAGGAAGAGTAACAGGGAAAGATACTTGCTGTGCATTTCAGACAAAAGATTATTATCCAGAATATATAGAGTGTCTCTAATAAAAAAAAAATAAGTGGCAACATGGGCAAAAAGCAATTATATATATATTCCCCCAAAAAACAAATAATTAGCTCAACTCCACCAGGAGTCAGAGAAACGCAACTTAGAAAAAAAATTTTTTTTCTTCACCAAATTGGCAGAGATAAAGAGAAGATTAATGTTAGGAAAAGGGCATTCTCACACACTATTGGTGAGCAAAATTCTTTTGGGGAGGCAGCTTTGGCAATATTTATTAAAATTTAGTATGCATGTACTCTCTGATGCATGATTCCACTTCTAGGAAGCTATCCTACAGAAACTCTCACTCCTGCTTAAAAGTATATGTATTAAGGATCTTTAACATTATTTATAACAGCAAAGAATAAACAACAGAAAGCAACCCAAATAAGAAAGTAGTTAAAGGAAATATTAAACCATATGTAGCCATTAAAAGAATGAAATAAACTTACATGGAAAGAGTTCAAATGAATGCTACCAAGAGAAAAAAATCATGCAGAAAAACAACACCTATAATATAGTTGCATAAAATACTAGTGGAACTTGTGGAAACACTGGGGTAAGTACGACTGGATTCAAATCCAGTTTCAGCACTATGTGATCTTGTGAAGGTGGCAGTCTCAACCATATAACACTCCACTGCTGACACTGCCTCACAATGATGTTACTAGGGCGAACGATCATATGATATTTTGAAAATGGTGCAGGGCACTACTACACATAATAATAATAGAAACAACAACAATTAGCAATAACTCTCTGAACAGAGGTGGTCCCGGGGCCATTCACAAAGAGAAGGCTTGTTAGTGCAATTTGGGACACTGGTCAAAGGCCCTCTCGGTGTCCATTCTTTTCCCAAGGACAGGCACAGGAGAGTAACTGTGTTACATGAACTATCACATAAGGTGGAAGAAAGATACGCCAAGACCCAATGTGGCAGGGCTTTGGTCTATAAATCATTAGCAAAAACACTGCTGAGAAACAATACCGTCATAAGACCAGGGGCATCAGTCTTGACCCAGGCACTCACTCATTTCACAATGCTGAACATGTCAAGTGATTCAGTGAGCCAGAATCAAAGGCCATTTTGCAGCCATTCAAAAGTCTGTTTTTGCAGCAGTGCGGGCCTGGGGGACCACAGGGTCAGGGGCTCAAGGACAAGGGAGCCTCTGCTTTGCATGCGAGAACCACCTCCTTGCTTTCATTTCTTCTTACACTGGTACCTATGACGGTTCACACTCAAGCCCTATGCACAGGGCCAGGAAAAGGGATCAGGCCTGAACACAGATGTAGGCTTATATGCAAACTCACCCCCCCAGATGGATGTAGCTGAATCAAAATCATTTACAATGGAGTCATTTACAGAAGAAGGAGAAGTATTTCAGATCGTGAGCAAGATGGAAGACTAGTGCCTATATAAGGACAGATGAAAAACATACAATTCGTTGTGAAGAGGAGGTCATTGATTACAAACTTTCAAAGCACAGTGTGGGCTTTGTTGTGACAGGTGACCTCATAAGTGACAGTTACTAGGTACCTGGCCCCAAACTTATACCCTACAACTCTAGCTCTGCTTGAACCTGTGGGGCAAGATGCGCTGCCAAGACTCACCAGAGCTCTGCAATCACTGTTCTCCACCCATCTTTCTATTCTGCCATGTAAAAAAAAAAATTACAATCTGTTTTCTTCTTTTTCACATATTTAAAATGCACGTGTTAGAAGTCTACATTCTGGCTGGCATTAAACTCTATGGAAAATAAACAATTTGCTTATTTAGTTGAGTTTTATAAAGCACCTGCCTACACATTCAGAGTGCAAAAAAAATGGCTTGCCTTTAATAGTGCTGATTATGTCAGACTTCTGTGGTAATTATTACTATTTGATTAATCTCTAAATTGGAGTAGGAACTTTAGCATACAGACTAGAATACCATCTGGAGTAATACCATTTACTATAAGGCAGGATTTAGCACCACATTTTTAAATAAAATCCACTATCAGGAACAGATAGTTCTGAATTCCTCGTGGATGAGGAGGCCCCCTGAGAAAGGGCTACCATATTTGCAATCAAGAGACTGGGTGTCATTCCTTAATGTGTTACCCGTCAGACCTCAATGATGTCACTACTTAACCTCTCCAAGCCCCCAGGTCCCTCCCCTCATCTGTAAAAAGTGAAAGGCTGGACTAGCCAATTTCGAGTCTCATTCAGCCGTAAAATTCTATGATTCTGTGTGAAATCCCATACTCCTATAAGCTCACACAGCAGTGTTAACTGAAAAGCAATTTGGGTAGAGAAAGGATATTCCTGAT